AATGTATGTTTAAAATTTGTTTTTGTTGGGTTAATTTTTAAATTTGACATCTCCCCATATTCTTTCAGTGATTTCATTAAATTTGGCAATGTTATCCTTGGGTTTCCCACATAGAACAGCATGTCATCTGCATAAGCTGTCACCTTATGCTCCGTATCTCCTATCCAAATTCCTTTTATATCTATATTATTCCTTGTTGTAGCCAAAAGAGATTCCAATGATCAAATATATAGCAATGGAGACAAAGGGCATCCTTGTCTAGTTCTGTTCTGCATCCCAAAATACTCTGACAATTCCCCATTAACCATGATTGGTGCAGAGGGTTGACTATATAATTTCCTTATCCACTCTCTCATTCTAGGTCCCATCCCCAATACTTCCAATGTATCCAACATATATCCCCAATCTACTCTGTCAAATGCCTTTTCAGCATCGATAGAGAGTACCACCGCAGGGATTTTCTCTTTCCTACTTTTTTGTATGAGAAACAGAGATCTCAGTCCGTTATCTCTACCCTCTCTCCCTGGGACAAAGCCTACTTGGTCTATGTGTATCCATTCCGACATTAGGTCTTTCAACCTGTTTGCCAGAACTTTTGCATATTGTTTGGTATCTGTGTTTAATAAGGAAATAGGTCTGTAACTTGAACAGCGAGTATAATCTTTACCTTCCTTATGTATGAGAATTACATGGGCTTGTAGAGATTCCCTCCTCATTTCCATCTCTCCTCCCAATGCATTCATATATATCCTCAGTTTAGGTACTAATAATTATTGATATTTTTTATAATATCTCACTGTGTATCCATCAGGTCCTGGACTTTTCCCAGCTATAGCGCTCTTTAATGCTAAATGTTTTTCCTCCTGCATTATTGCTGATTCTAGGGATTTTAATTGCTCCTCGCTTAATTTTGGTAATCCTGCCTTTTTTAAGTATGTCTGTCTTTTTTCTATTTTTCCTATTTTATCTTTACTTATGGAGCTGTGGGGGATAATATTATATAGCTTATTATAATATTCTTTAAACACTTTAGCTATATCTTTAGTTGAATACATTAAATCTCCTATGTGGTCTCTTATTTTCTCTATATAGTTCCTAGATTTTTTTTTTTTTACTCTGAGCCCTCATTAAATACTTTCCTGGCCTATCTCCCCATCTGTATCTCTCTCTTATCATTTTATTGAACACTCTTATCTTCTTCCAGAAATTTATTTAATTCTTCTCTTTTATTTATTACCCTCTGCATAATCTCTTTTGTTACTTTATGTTTATGTATCTGCTCTAACTCACAGAGTTCACTAAGAAGCGTGTTTATTTTTTCTCTTCTTTCCCTCTTCTTTTTTGCTCCAATCGCTATCAGGATTCCTCTAATATAGGCCTTATGAGCCTCCCACATTGTTGCTACGGACACTTCCCCAGAATCATTACTGAAAGGAAGAACTTCCTGCACTGGGAATGGGGCCCTATTATACAAGCTGCTGACACAAACCTCTTACCAAAATGATGGTAATACACATAAATATAAAGTGCAGCGCTATCCCTAAAATTACTAAATAGATAAATATAAGTGCTATCTAACTGTGCAAAAATTATCAGTGCTCTAAATAATACCACACGGTACTAAACCTTTGTGCAAAATGTGCAATTACAATAAAGTGCAACACGTGTAACCCAAATGGGAATATAAAGTGAAAAAATAGTGACAATCACTAAAGCAAAATCACTGCAAACATCTGTTATTCAAAATTAAGTCCATATGGAAAATATAGTGTCCAAATACAACACAAAAGACTCTCAATCTTCATGCATGTGATCACAAGTGTGTCCACACTGTGAGAATCCAAACAATAGCTGTAGTGGCCCTTCACCTCCTCAGGGTCCCCACAGGGTCAGCTTGCTTTAAAAAACAGGACACCACTCTGATGACTCACTGGGTCCTCCCCCGCCTCTTACACTCTCTCAGCAGCCTCCTCCTCGGTTCATATATAGACAAAAGCTCACATAGTGTAATACTGTTTTTATTCTTCAAATAAATATATATCCTGTGTCCTGTTTTTAAAGCAAGCTGACCCTGTGGGGTCTTGTCAAGGAGGTGAGGGGCCACTACAGCTATTGTTTGGATTCTCACAGTGTGGACACTTGTGATCACATGCATGAAGATTGAGAGTCATGTGTTGCACTTTATTGTAATTGCACATTTTGCACATAGGTTTAGTACCGTGTGGTATTATTTAGAGCACTGATAATTCTTTTTTGCACAGTTAGATAGCACTTATATTTATCTATTTAGTAATTTTAGGGATAGCGCTGCACTTTATATTTATGTGTATTTCCCCAGAAACATTTTCCTCAAAAAATTGCTTTATTTCTTTTTTAATTCTTTGATCAACCTCTGAATCCTGGAGAAGTGTCTCATTTAACCTCCATAATTTCCCCCTGATCTGCTCATTTCCCCATAATAATTGCATTGTGACAGGGGGCATGGTCTGATATTGACATCACTTCTGTTTTTACTTTGACCAGAGACTCGATAAGGCAATGGTCTAGCAATATATAATCTAGTCTTGAATACATCTCATGTGCATGAGAATTAAACATATAGTCTCTGTCCTTCATGTGCTTAATTCTCCATATGTCTACAAGTTGACATTGGTATATCATTTTTTTCAAGGATTTCAGAGACCTACTACCATCTCTCTGCACAGGGGACGTCATATCCATCTGAGGATCCATGCAGAGATTGAAATCACCTGCCACAATTAAGCTGCCTTTTTTTAAATCCATTAACTTCAAAGTATTTTTTACCTCCGGTTTCTTATTCGGGCAATAAATATTTGCTAATGTACAGTCTATTTCCTGTAATTTTCCCTTCAAAAACAGAAATCTCCCTTCCGGATCTACCAATCTGTCTTCCAGCTTAAACCTTATATTTTTCGCAAAACCTATTGCCACTCCCCTGGCACGTTTAATTGGGGAATCTGCATAAAACCACATTCGATAATATCTGGAATTTAATTTCACATTTGATTCTTGCACCAAATGTGTCTCCTGTAAATAAACCACTGAAGAAAATCTATGTTGAATTTCTTTAAAAATCCCAAATCTCTTCCCAGGGCTATTTAACCCTTTAACATTATAAGTCACAAAGTGAATCTCTTCCATTCTTCTCCTCTCCACACCTCTTTCTTCCCTTTCTCTTCTCTCTTCCTCCACAATCTTCCCCTTTGATATCTAGGATTTCTCCAGACTGATGTTTCTCCCACTGTTTCGCAGAGTCTTAAACTACCTATCCCCACCCCATAACCTCCTCCCACCAACCCACCCTCCCGTCCCTCCTCCCTCCCTCTCCCTTCCCCCATCTCCATTTAGGCTTACATTTTGCCTATGAATCATTTGTGGTCCTATCCCCACCTTTGATTCAGCTTTTAAGGTGAAACTCTGACCATGAACTTTTTCCTCAATAAGCGTGTTTCATCCTCCATGTCCTGCCATACTCTGGTAAACTTCAAAAATCATAAGAGAGAGGCAGAAATGGAGGGAGGGAGAGAGAGAAAAAAAAAAAGAAAAGGAGAGAACCCCCCCTCCATCCCATCTTATTCCTCTTTACTATTCCTACTCTCTATTCTCCTTAGAGCTACCTGCCTCCCCTCATTTTCCATAGCCCACATTTCTCCTCCTTCCTCCCAACCAGGGATATTTTATTTTCTGTATATCGTCTCTCACAGAAGTCTCTCAGATCTTCGGGGAATCTCAGTCTTGCTAAACGTCCATTTCTCCATCCGATCAAACATGCTGGAAACCCCCAGCTATATCGAACATTCTGTTTTCTGTTCCAATAATGGTTTCAAAGTTCTCCTACTTAATAATGTTTCTGGTGCTAAATCAGCAAAGATCTGTATATTTATTTCTCCATATTTTATTATTGCTCTTCCTTTTATCTTCTTCCAAAGCTCTTCTTTATCCTGAAAATTATAGAATTGCACTATTACATCTCTTGGCTTTTCCTTCCTATCTTCTTGTATATATTTTCCTATTCTATATACTCCCTCCATTTTGAGAGGCTCTGTTATAGTTCTATCCATTATAGTATTCAGCATTCTCATTATTATTCCCATCAAATCTTCTCCTTGGGAGATCTCTGGAAAGCCTTGTATCCTTAGATTGCATCTCCTATCCCTATTCTCCTGGTCTTCCAATTTATATAACAGATTTTTGTTCTTTTCTCATTTCCATCGCCCGTTTTTCTAATTTCTGTATAATTTGGGCATGTTTATCTAGTTTTTCTTCCGTCTCCTCCACCCTTGATAATATTTGCCCCAGGTCTTTGTGTAATTTTGCCAGTTCCCTGTTTTAGGGATCTTTCAAGTCCTTTAAACATTTCTGCTATTTCTGCTTTAGTAGGCATCTGTGATCTCTCCTCTTGTTCTTCTACTTTATCCATATCCACTTTTTCTTCCATATGTTGACTACTGTTAGCTATTCCCAGGGATAGTCTGGAACATTCCCCGCCGTTTTCCCTCTCACCTCTTACACTTATTCTCTGTTCTCTCTCTAGAGTGTTTCTCCTGTGAGGGTACATATTTTTTAATTGACCCTATTTGGGAAACCTTAGGCCCTCCTCCCTTTGATACTTTGTTTTTTAATGCTGTCAGGGACTATTTCAATTTTTTCCGCAGATCTGCTTTTGGGGGGGAGGCCTATTTTTGATTTGATGTCAAAATTTGTTGTCTTCCATGGGTATCCCCCTCAGTTCTTTTCTTCTTTTTTCTCTCCCCCCACTCCCAAACCATCTACCCGGGTCCTCTTCTTCTAGGTTTTTTATCTGTTTTACATTGTCCTCCTTCTGATTTTCCTCTAAGACCCACTGGGTGAACCCCTCCTCAGTCTAAGCGTATAGTTCAATACATACAGTTCAATTCCCATGCATTAATCTCAGTACTTTTCCCGCTCTAGCTCACCCTCTTGTCCCCAATACGGCTTTTCCCCGTATGAGATCTCTGTCATATATGAAGAAAAGGGCTTCTCTGAAAAACATTTCCCGCACTCCGAACAGGTATACAACTTCTCCTCCGTATAAGATATCTGATATGTGTGAAGACTGCGCTACACTGAAAAGTATTTCCCGCACTCAGGACAGACATATGGCTTTTCACCACCTGTGTAAGATCTCTGATATATATAAAGTCTAGACTTATCTGAGAAAACATTTCCCGCACTTAGAACAGGGATATAGCATCTTCCTGTGAGGTCACTGATATATATGCAGACTGGACTTCTGTGAAAAACATTTCCCACACTCTGAACAAAGGTATAGCTGCTCCCTCTTGTGTTATCACTGGCATATCACTGGCATATACAAAAATAGGACTCACATGAAAAACATTTCCCGTACTCCGGACAGGTATGCAACTTCTCCCCCGTGTAAGATCTCTGATGTGTGTGAAGACTAAGCTTCACTGAAAAGTATTTCCCGCACTCAGGATAGACATATGGCTTTTCACCTGTGTTACAGCTCTGATATATGTAAAGTCTAGTTTTGTCTGAGAAAACATTTCCCACACTCTGAACAAGGGTATGGCTGCTCCCTCTTGTATTATCACTGGTATATATAAAAATAGGACTTACATGAAAGACATTTCCAGCACTCAAAATGGGAACACTTCTCCCCCATGTGAGATCTCTGGTTTCTATGGGATTGAACTTCTCTGAGAGACTTTCCCGCACTTTAGGACATCTCTTCCTTTACTCCAAGTGAGGGGTGAGGCGGCTCCAGGTATTCTCTTCTGGGGAACATTGCACTCGATATTCCCCTCACAATGAGTGGATTGCAGGGAGGTTCACCCAGCCCATTTCCGCGTGTCTCAGGCTGTCACGGTCCTGTGTGCAGGAGGAAGAGAGCTGGCGTCTCCCTTGCTCCACGAAACGAGCTGGCTTTTCTACCTCCCAGAGCTCCCTTGCGGCAGATCACCTGATTGCCCGGCGTCCACTGAGCTCCGGGGAACACACAGCGCCGGGCCGAGAGCACAGGAAGACCCACCGTGATAGCCTCCACTCCCGGAAGGTCCTCGGTCCACGCACCCCACCAGGCAAGCCCTCCCTCTCCCCGGCTAGTCTCTCCGGGGCTTCCTGCACATCTCTCCCCTTCTCGGCAGGACACTGGAGGCGCTTGGGAGCCTGGGAGCCCTCACATCGAGCTCCCACTCCAAGCCATGGTCAGGCTCCTTCCTGGGTGTCGACCCCTTCTACAGGTTTAAAGCTGTAAAAACTTGATATTTTTATTGTACGCTATTGCTATTAAGCTATTGCTGTTATGTTTAAATTGAAATAACACAGCTATGTTATAAATGCAGTTTTATATTTTGGACTCTTTAGTCTAAAGAAAAATGTAATTTCATAAGCTTTAAGGGGGCATGGTTGGGGGCAGGGCTGGGGACGGGGTTGGGGATAGGCCAGGGGTGGGTTTGGAGGTGAACCTGGGCAATAATTGGTGGGGCAACTGGTGGAGAGTAAGGTTTGTGCCTGGCTAGTAGGTCTAGACTCGAAATTTTAAGCCCTGTTAACGTATACCTGGCACTTCACCTCAAGTGACCGAGCGTTCTCATTATATTCTGGACACACTTCATACATTTTAACGGTTTTATTAGGAGCATGGAAAAAGATGTTTTAAAAATAAAGCGGTTACATATGCCAATTAAAGAAATTAATGCATTTCTGATAAGAATGTGGTTATTATTTATCTGCATGGGAATTATGGATGCAATATCACGGTTATACATGCAAAGGAAAATATTTGACTTTTTCCTAATGTAAGCATGGGTGGAACAGCATAGATACACATCCCACATAACATATTTGACCTTTTTGATAAGAATATGGGTATCAATATTATTCTGCATTGGGATTATTGGGGGAATATCATTTTTACACATCTAACGTAATGTATTTGCCCTTTTTCTACCAGAATGGGTATATTAATTGTTTGAAATGGAGACTATGGATGGACTATCCATTTCCAGACCAAGCCTTTTTTACCAGCTTTTGTTTGCATTTAACAATCAGTATTTTTTGCTAGAAAACTACTTAGAACCCCCAAACATTATATATTTTTTAAAGCAGAGGCCCTGGAGAATAAATTGGTGGGTTTTGCAATTTTTAATGTCACACTGTATTAACTCAGCAATTTTTCAAATGTAATTTTATGGTAAAAAATACACTTTTTTATTTTAATGCAAAAAAACACAATACATAAACCACTTTTTTTTGTAAAATATGATGTTATGCTGAATAAATAGATACCAAACACGTCACGCTTTAAAATTGCGCCTGACTGTGCATCAGCAACAAACAATGTAAATTTTACTATCTATAGCTGACGCTTTAAAAGCCTTTACAGGTTACCACTTTAGGTTTACAGAGAATCTCTAGTGCTAGAATTACTGCCGTTGATCTGACGTTCATGGCAATACCTCACGTGTGAGATGATCGCTGCTTGCGTGCATGCGGGACAGACACGTGAGTTCGCCTTTATGTGCAAGCACAGCAGGACGGGGACACTTTCATATTTTTTTTTAATTATATATTTCTTTTTAATTTTATCATAGGTTCACACCTAAGCATTTTCTTCAGTGTTTTTCAGAAACACAGTACAGTCCATTTAATGTAATTTCCTATGGGACATCTGCAGAACAGCATGTACAGATGAAACTCGAAAAATTAGAATATCGTGCAAAAGTTCATTTATTTCAGTAATGCAACCTAAAAGGTGAAACTAATATATGAAATAGACTCATTACATGCAAAGCAAGATAGTTCAAGCCGTGATTTGTCATAATTGTGATGATTGTGGCTTACAGCTCATGAAAACCCCAAATCTCAGAAAATTAGAATATTGTGAAAAGGTGCAATATTCTAGGCTCAAAGTGTCCCACTCTAATCAGCTAATTAAGCCATAACACCTGCAAAGGGTTCCTAAGCCTTTAAATGGTCTCTCAGTCTGGTTCAGTAGGAATCACAATCATGGAAAAGACTGCTGACCTGACAGTTGTGCAGAAAACCATCATTGACACCCTCCATAAGGAGGGAAAGCCTCAAAAGGTAATTGCAAAAGAAGTTGGATGTATCAAATCACATTAATAGAAAGTTATGTGGAAGGGAAAAGTGTGGAAGAAAAAGGTGCACAAGCAGCAGGGATGACCGCAGCCTGGAGAGGATTGTCAGGAAAAGGCCATTAAAAAGTGTTGGGGACTTTCACAAGGAGTGGACTGAGGATGGAGTCAGTGCATCAAGAGCCACCACACACAGACGGATCCTGAACATGGGCCTCAAATGTCGTATTCCTCTTGTCAAGCCGCTCCTGAACAACAAACGTCAGAAGCATCTTACCTGGGCTAAAGAAAAACAGATCTGGTCTGTTGCTCAGTGGTCCAAAGTCCTCTTTTCTGATGAGAGCAACTTTTGCATCTCATTTGGAAACCAAGGACCCAGAATATGGAGGAAGAATGGAGAGGCACACACTGCAAAATGCTTAAAGTCCAGTGTGAAGTTTCCACAGTCTGTGTTGATTTGGGGAGCCATGTCATCTGCTGGTGTTGGTCCACTGTGCTTCATTAAGTCCAGGGTCAACGCAGCCATCTACCAGGAGATTTTGAGCACTTCATGCTTCCTTCCGCAGATGAGCTTTATGGGAATACTGACTTCATTTTCCAGCAGGACTTGGCAGCTGCCCACACTGCCAAAAACACCAAAACCTGGTTCAATGACCGTGGGATTACTTTTCTTGATTGGCCAGCAAACGCGCCTGACCTGAACCCCATAGAGAATCTATGGGGCATTGCCAAGAGAAAGATGAGAGACATGAGACCGAACAATGCAGAAGAGCAGAAGGCAGCTATTGAAGCATCCTGGTCTTCCATAATACCTCAGCAGTGCCACAGGCTGATAGCTTCCATGCCACGCCACATTGAGGCAATAATTGCTGCAAAAGGGGCCCAAACCAAGTACTGACTACATATGCATGCTTATACTTTTCAGAGGTCAGATATTGTTCTATGTACAGTCCTTCTTTTAATGATTGCATGTAATATTCTAATTTTCTGAGATTGTGGATTTGGGGTTTTCATGAGCTGTAAGCCATAATTATCACAATTATGACAAATCACGGCTTGAACTATCTTGCTGTGCATGTAATGAGTCTATCTCATATATTAGTTTTCATCTTTTAAGTTGCATTACTGAAATAATTTTTTTTTTTCCAAAAAAACGTTTTTTATTGAAGTATGAAAGGTAAACAAATGATAGACAGATACGGATTCGCAGTCCGTGCAAAGTTTCTAGTACGTTTCTCTCCCGTAACGCAGACGGGATCAAGACAATGAACTTTTGCACGATATTCTGTTCCGTACCGAATGAGAATAAATAGCTATTTTTTAAGTTTCACCTGTAGTGAGTTTTCCTGAGTTTGTATGCGATTTTGCCCGCATTTTTTATGTGTTTTTGCATTTTAATGTGTTTTGCATTTTAAATTTGCCTAGCAACAAGAAAAATGTATAAACTGAAAAAAAAAAAAAAACCCCGCAAAACATGTAAAAACCGCAGGTGCAAAAATGCAACACAAAACACAATGCAGAAACAGATGCAACCTGTATAGGTGTGAACCTAGCCTTACACTGTTGCTTAACATTTTTTTTTAATCACTTTTACCCTAGGTTCACACCTAAGCGTTTTCTTCAGCGTTTTGTGTTTTGCAGAAACGCAATACAGTCCATTTAACATGATTTCCTATGGGACATGTTCACATTTGCAGTCTTCACCCGGTGCTTTTTTTGGAAAGGGTCAGGGACTTTTTTGAAAGCAAAAAGTTGCGTTTTCGGTTCTATATACTTAAATGGAAATGCTGCAGAAAAGCATGTATTGAGTTTTTGCTGCGTTTTTTTATGCATTTTTGCAAAACATGTCAAAAACGCAGGTGCAAAACAAAATGCATTGCAGAAATGGCTCAAACACAACCTGCATAGGTGTGAACCTATAGTCCCACTCCCAAAAATCGTGTGAAATTATGAACAATATACAAATTGTCAAAAAAAAAAATATTAAAAATCAAAAATAACAAAATAAAATATAAAAATAAAAAAAAAAATAAAGTTTTTGTTCAAAAGAAGTGTGCTTCCACCATGAACCAGTGCTCCAACCAACATATACCGCACTCACCAGATTCTGGTGAAGTAAACATCTTTTAGGTATTTTTAGGGATCCTAGACCCTTCCTTTCGGTCTCCAGAACTCCACTCCACCACATGCGATCTTTAATTCACCTTCTAGTACCTCCAA